TGCCAAGGTCCCAAGTCAAGATCACCAGCCTGTGCCCTGAAGAGCTGCCATCCTTCCCAATGACTGCCCTCCTCCAAGCCTAGAGCGCCTCTCCTGCTCTTAAGTTTTCAAAGCTCCTCTCAGTGGTTCTGCGATCACATCCTCTGGGTTTTTCTCCCAATATCCTGGGATGTCCTGCTGGTTTATTGAAGACATCCACCCTACATGCAGCGAACGTCTGCCTCATAATATGGGAGGCAATGGCCCACCTCTTTGAGAGTGTCTGGTGTGAGGAGGAAGACCCTGCTCCCATCTCCAGAAAGCCTCCAGTCTGATGGGGAAACGCAGCCTTGGCCCTCAGAGAGGCCCTAGTCTCAGGAGCCAGGAGAGACCACACCTAGGAGTTTCTTATAGGACTCTGGCTCCTGATTAGAGTCCCTGAAGGACGCTGAGGTTGTGAACAGAAGTCTGGCCCAGGAGTGCTCTGGGCTGCGGGCATCCTGAGGAGGTGGGGGGCAATGAATGGTACCATGGGCATGAAGAAGGCAGGAGCTGCATGCAGGGTGAGCCCCAGACATTCTACAATGTTTGGTCCTGAGAAATCAATAGAGCTTCAGGGAAGGAAAGGGATGGGGGCCCAGATGGGCCATGGACCTGCTGGGTCCTTCTTTTAACTGCCGTGGAAAGGGCTGGGGAAGGGGCTCCCCATTTCACAGCTTCCACTGCTGCACAAGTGGACCCTAAGCCCCATCCAAGAGCTTGCCCCATTCTCTCTTTATTTCCCTGTCTCTTCAAGTCCACAAACCCCGAGGAGGCCAGAATTCTGGGCCCAGCTGGACGCTGGGAGGGGAGGAGGTGGCCATGGCTTTGGAGGAGGTATTGTCTTAGCACCGAGGAACTCCTTGCACTAGGAGAGCAATAAGCCCAGCAGGGACCCAGACGCCGCATAGTGTGAGGGAAAGAGACAGGAGCCCAACTAACCAGGTTTGTGGAACCAGACGACTGTTCCCAGTCCTGCTCTGGGAGGGCTTCCTGGAGGAAGTGAGCCAGGGCCTGGGGGAGGGACAAAGGCAGTAGTGACCCACCGTCTCATAGGGCTGGTGGTCTGCTCAGGCCTCCTGTGACTGCCCTCACCCTATCTGTCCCTGCCTTGGAGGGTCGCTACTCTGCTCTTGGACTGATGGCAGGGACTCCCCAGACCATGAGAGAGCCCAGGTCATAGGGTCACAGGGATCTCAGGATTCACCTAATCCAAAGCCCCCATTTTAGAGATGAGGCAAATGAGGCAAGGGAATTTGTCCAAGGTCATCTGAGTCGTAGGTAGAAAATCCACCTGCTTTGGATGCCAGATCCTTCCACCTCCACCCCACCCCCCAAGTCCTGGCTTCCCACTGCCTCCAAGCACTCAGACCTCCTCTCCCAGGGCTGGAGGCAATTCCTTCTGCCCTCCCCCTACCGTGGCTACCACCCTGCAGCTTGTAAAGGCTGAGCTCTGGGTCTGCCTTCTTCTGGAGACTGTTCCGAGGAAGAAAGCTGGTCCTGGCTTCCCCATCCCCACCCCGGAATGTGCCCACTTCAATCAATCAATCAGCCAGTCGATCAATCAAGCAATCAATCAATCCACTGGGAAGGCTGGGCGCTGTCCTTGGTGCTGGGGATACAAAGGCAAACCGTCTCCACCTCCCCCTAAAAGGAAAACAAACCGCTTTCTCGGGACTCACATGGTGTTGGAGGACCAACCATGGAACTATGTAGTGGGGCACAAACATAGACAAAGTAAATACGAGAAAGTGTAGAACCCTGAGGGCCGCCCCTCCTTCCCCTCCAGGCCTTCTCTCTTCATCCTGGAAGCTCACTCCAGCCCTGGGCATTCATACTCTGGAAGTGCCCTCCCAGGCCCTTCGGCCTCTCCCTCGGATTGGAGGGCTCTTCCCAGGACACCCATTCACGGAAGGTGCCCAGGCCAACCACAACTGTTTCCTCTCAGACTTTCTCTCCCAGGTCCTCTCACTGGTTAACTACGTCTCCCCATCCCACCCCCACCTTTTCAGCTCCCTTAATAAGCTTTCTCCACTCTTTAGAATGTAAGCTCCCTGAGGGCAGAGACTTTCCTGCTTTTGTGTTCCCAACACCTAGTAAATGATTAATAAATAAATGCTTGTTGACTGGCTGACTGAGAACCTGGAAGGACTGCCCATGAGTAACTAGGAGGGGATCAATGTCTGATGGGATTCAAACTGAAGTACTAAAGGGGACCCCAAGTATAGTCATTCTTAGGAACGGCTGGCCCACTGTGACCAGCCCATGGGCCCAGCCAATCTACCCCCTCCCCGGATCCTGAACCCTAGGAAACAGATGCTGGACTCTGAAGCTGTGGCCTGGGAGATGGGACTGTGCCCCTCCCCTTCCCTTGAGCTTGAGAGACAGAGCAAGGGACTTCAGCTTTCTGAGGTCTGGGGTCAGGACCTCTTCTTAGCTCAGAGCCCCCAGGCCCAGGAAGCCCAGGATTTCTGGGGCCTCCTATCCTCAAACTGTCCAGACGGGGTGGATAAAGCAGGACAGTTATGTAAGTGGAAGGAAGCACTCAGGACAGATCCTCGGGGCTGGGGGAGGAAGGACCAGAACGATTTGAGCTGATTCTTAATTGACCTTCTGATCTCGATATTGGATTTTTTGTTCTCTCCCTTAAATCTGGTCTTGCCCCATTGCCACCTTTGAAGTGAGTGTCTGCAAAGGGAGAGGAAATCCGGGACTTTGAAAGGGCACATACCTCAGGGAGGGGTGAGGAGAGGGCAGAACAGAGGAATGATGGATCTCACAGGCTGGGTTCCAAAACCCCTTCCTTGTCCCCTGCCAAGAGACTTATTTCCTACCCAACCACTTTCATCCTTTTCTCTCTGACCTCCTTCCCTGTGCCATTCATGAGACTTCCAGGGCTTGCTTTCTCTCTCTCTTTCTCTCTCCCTGTCTCTCTCTGTCTCTCTCTCCTCTCTCTCTCTTTCTCTCTCATCTCCCCTGCATGTCTCTCTCCTTCTCCCTTCTTTCTTCCCTCTCTTCCCCTTCCCTCCCTCTCTCTCCTCCTGATTGCAGCTATCCAATCACCTTCTCCTTTCCCTCTTCTTTATTTCCTCATCTTCCTCGTCCATTCTCTCCTGATTCCTCTCTTTCTCCTTTATCTTCTTTCTCAATTCCTTTTCTCTCACACTCCTGTTTCTCCCCTTCCTTCTTCTCCCTCCCCCCTCCCATTTCCCCTCTCTTCTTTTACTCTTCTTCTCTTTGCAAGGCCAGCATGAGGCTGGGGTGCCTGGGGGCACTGCCCACATTTAAAGGGTGTGTACAACACTTAGCCTCTTGGAGGAACAGCTGAGCTGAGTCTCCAGATGGCAAGGACTGTTCTGATAGAAGCTTCCCCTTTCTCCCCAGGAAGCTGGCACCCCCTCCCCCAGCCCGGTGCTCAGTAATGACTGGATGCGACTCTCCCACCCAGGTTCTTCCTCTCCTCTCACTTGCACCCCCCCTTCCCCTTTTTCCTTTCCTCTCTCTTCTCAGTCTTTTCATTTCTCTTCCATTCTCCTCTATCTCTTTTCTCTCCCTCTTTTTTTCCTCTCCCTCTTTAAAAACAATAACTAATATTTATTTAGCATCTACCTTGTGCCAAGCACTGTGCTAAGTATTTTGCAAATATGATCTCATTTAATCCACACAGCTCTGAGTGGTGGCATTCAATCATTTCTGTTGTGTCTGACTCTTCACGACCCTACTTGGGTTTTCTTGGCAGAGATACTGGAGTGGTTTGCCATTTCCTTCTCCAGCTCATTTGACAGATGAGGAAACTGAGGCAAACAGAGCTAAGACTTGCCCAGAGTCACGCAGCTAGTAAGTGTCTGAGGTTGGATTTGAACTCAAGTCTTCCTGACTCCAACCCTGGCACTCTATCTGCTGCACCACCCAGCTGCTCTTTCCTTTTTTTTTTCCTCTCCTCCTCTCCCCTCTTCTCCCCTTCTTTCTGCTTTCCTCACCTCTCCTGGCTTCCTTTCCCCTTCCCCTGCTCTTTGTCTTCCCTATTCCTCTCTCCTCCCTCCCCATTCTCTTCTCTCCGCCCAGTCCCAGCCCCAGCCAGAGTCCTCTGTCCAGTCTCCCTGGAGATGGCAGAACGGGCTGTCTTTCTCTGGCCAGGAAACGGGACAAGTGAATTTCATCCGGTGCACCGGGAGGGTGTGCCAGCAGCAGCAGCCCCTGGGTGGTGGGACAGCCCCCCCACCCAGGCAGGTGGGGTGGGGGGGACTCCCTCAAACCCCTGTGTCCTCAGCCAGGCTTGGCCAGCCCTGTTCCAAGTAGGGGGGAAGGGAGGCAGGGGAGAGGACGGGTGTGTGGGGGGGGCTTGGGGAGAGATCTAGCCCCTGCCTTGGCCAAGGGACTAAGCCCAGCTCGACCTGCCCATCCTCCCCTTTACCCCCAGTAGCCTGGCCTGTCCAAGAAGCCCTGCTGCTGGGCCTCTCTCCCAGTAACGGGGCAGCGGGGAGCAGAGCTCACCCTGCCCCCCAAGGGCAGAGGGCATCCTGGCGCCAAGGCCCGGCCCAGCCTTGCTACCAGGGCTCCATTCTGGAGAGGGGGGCAGATAGGTTTGAGGGGAAGGAGCCCTGGAAGGGAGGCACGCTGGCATTCCTCAGCCTGCACCAAGAGTCAGTTCAGGAGAATTTCAGAAAGCCTATTAGAGCTGCCAGCCCTAACCCCAGCCCCAGCCCCGGCCTCGGCCGGCCGCAGCAGCTGGGAAGCCCTCCCCAGTCTGGCTGGGGAGGGAGGGGAGGAGAAGGAAGGGAAAAAACCCAACAGTTGGCATTCACTCAGGCAGCGCTCCCTCTCCATCCATCTCTCCTCCTGCCTCCCTCCTCCCATCCTGGCCGGCCGGCCGGCCCCCAAGGAAAGCCAAGCCTTCCTCCTTTTGTGCTACACCCTCTCCCTCCTCCTCCTCCTTTCCCCCTGCCCGCCCCCCAAGGGCCCTATAAATAGCCCCAGAAGGCGGGCTGCTCTCCAGAGCACTGCTCATGCTCTGAGGGCAAGGACGGGTGTGCCAACCAGTTATAGCCACTGAGGCAGGGCAGGGCAGGATAGAGCAAGACAGGTGGAGCTCAGGGGCACCATGGCCAGTGAGTTCAAAAAGAAGATTTTTTGGAGGGCAGTGGTGGCCGAGTTCCTGGCCATGATCCTCTTCGTGTTCATCAGCATTGGCTCAGCCCTGGGCTACAACTACCCAGTGGAGGGTAACAAGACCTCGGGGGCCATGCAGGACAACGTGAAGGTCTCTCTGGCTTTTGGGCTCAGCATCGCCACGCTGGCGCAGAGTGTGGGCCACATCAGCGGGGCCCACCTCAACCCCGCAGTCACCCTGGGGCTCTTGCTCAGCTGCCAGATCAGCGTGCTCCGGGCTCTCATGTACATCATTGCTCAGTCCGTGGGGGCCATCGTGGCCACAGCCATCCTCTCGGGCATCACCTCAAACCTCCCTGGCAACACCCTTGGGCTCAATGGGGTAAGTGGGGGCCCTATGGGCTGGTGAGGTCAGGTGGGGCTGGACCCCTGCCCTGAAAGCTGAGGCTGTCGTTGCTGAGACTTGCCCAGAGGTATCCCATGGGCTCTGCCCATGAGGCAGACCACAGCCCTCCTGGGATGCTGTCCACCACCCAGCTTCTTTCTTTAAGAGCCAGGCTCAGTGCAGGACATGCTAGCCACTTGGCCAGAGCCCCTCTCCCAGGCCCTGGTCTTGAGGAAGGTGGACAATTGTGGGGCTTAGACGGCAAAGTAGACTGGTGGTCAATTCCTTCCTCCACTTGTCTGGGACTTTTCAGTGGCTCAATGCTCCCTCCACCACAGGTGGCTCACTGGGGAATTGGCCACAATCAGACACCATGGTGGGGAGGCCTGGGGGGGGGGGTGTCTTACTCCCCTGGTGCTGCTGAGCCCCTGGCCGTAAAATGTCCACAATGCACACACCCACCCACACAGAGACCGGTGGAGAAAAACAACATCTGGCCAAATTCGGTCAAAGAGCTGAGTATTTTGAAAACCATTAACCTGTCTGAACTCAGCCTTTGCCCCCCTCCTATTCCAAACTTCTGTGTATTTGAAGGGTGGGGCAGGGGGAGACCAGAAGGATGCTGACCTTGGAATTGTCAGGTGTTCCCCCTCCCTGGGCCTTGTCACCTGGGTTTCCTCTGCAAGAGATTCCAAACTCCTTGTTGCCTGAGAACGAGGTTCTGAACTGAAAGGAGAGCTGAGTTCAGGTTTAGAGTGCGGATGTTCTAATGGGGAAGGGGCTAGGAAGGCGGATTGGAGGAGTTGTGCCCCTGTTGTGAGTGGAGCGTGGGCCCCTGTACCCACCCAGACTAAGAATAGGATGGTCCAGGGAGGTGGTAGGCATGCACATCTAGCCTTAAGTGGGCTCTGTCGCAGCTCCTTATCCGCTCCCCAGATGTGGGGGCCAGGGTGACAGCTATGGAGAGGAATGTCTCTGGAGGGCTGATTGGTGAGCTGAACTGCCCCACCACTTCCCTCCCAGCGGAGGCAGCAGGGGCTGGGGACAGTGGGCGGGGTCCCTCCAGCCCATTGGTACAAGACGACTTCTCCTTGGCTCCAGGCTGCCCCTGGGCCCCCCGGAAGGCAGTGGAGTGTGGCACACACGGGGCATGGCAGCCAACAAGCTGTCACTGAAATCCCATTACAGGGCCTGGCCCTCACCCAAGGGACACCCGGGGTCCGAGAATGACTACCCCCCTCCCAAGGCACAGGCATCCCTCTGAGGCCCTTCCCCAAAGCCCAGATCCCTCCGAGATGGGAAGGGTGGCCCCACAGGCTGTTCCCAGTGCCTTGGGGTATGTCCTGTCGAGGGGCCACCCTGAACTGGCCTTCAATCGAGGGTGCCAGAGCACATCCCAGATCCAAGCCGGCTAGTGACATAAGAAATAACCAACTGTCTGCAGGCACTGTCCTGTTTCCCTCCTGGGACATCCCATTCCCCTGCCCCCCATAGCCGAGCCACATTCCAGGAGACTGGCAGGGGAACAAATCATGGCGGACAAGTAGGACAAGTCAGAAGTGATCTGGGGGACCCGTAGAAAGTTGGGAGGTATGGTCCAGGATATCAGAGCAACCCCCTCCTTTTATAGAGGAGGAAATTGAGACCCAGAGAAGCAGTGACTTGTCCAAGGTCACACAGGCTGTGGGCATACAAGCCAGGACATGACCTCAGGTCCTCTTTCTGCGATACCTGTGATGCCTTCTAGGTAGAACCAGAAACCAGGGAAGAGAGAGAGCAAAGGCTTTCCTGGAGGGGTGGGGGTGGGGGTGGTGGAAACTGGCTGAGCCAGTCAGTGGGGACTCCACTGGGAGCTGAGACCCTAACATGGGCTGCCGGGGTGTTAGGGGGCAGGGGGAGAGGCAGAGAGTCTTCAGGTAAGGAGCTGGGGATGAGACAGGAATGTGCCACAGAATGTTTCCAGATTGTAACCGAGACAGGTGTGTGTATGTGTGAGTGAGTGTCTAAACTCTCTTGCTGATGTCGGCCTCTGAGGAAGCCCTGGCTGCTGGCCAGCCACGGGGGAACAAACAGAGACTGCAGGCTTGTTAATCAAACCCAGCGGGCACCCCTGGAGGCCGGCAATGATTAGCACTTCAGACGTTTGGCCAATTCCTCGCTGAGCCCAGTTATTGAGCAAACGCCCTCCTTTTGGTGCAGGCTTGAAGATTAGCTAGCCAAGGCCCCTCTTAGCTGGAGGTTGGACTTTAGCCGGAATATGGGGTCCACTTCCAGACCAGAGGCAGGACACTGGAAAGTCTAGTAGTGTGATGACCAGGGGGCTAGCCTTCCCTGTGCTTCTCTCTCAGCCTCAGGGCTAACAGACCCTGCCCTGCACCCCTATCCCCCATCACAGGGTTGTTGTTAGGGACCAAGGGAAACAGAGATATATTAGTCAGATTGTGCAGATCCTCTTGTCCAACCCCCTCCTCGAGCAAATGAGGAAACTGAGGCCCAGAGAGAAGGCCCTTGGCCAGGCCTCAAAGCCGGATGGTTAGGCCCCAGGTTCCCCCCAGATAGTCCCACTTGGGTTGGATGGTGGAGCAAGACCACTCCCCAGAAGGCTGGGATGAGTGAGGATGAGGGTTAGGAGAGATGGGAAGCCAGGGAGGGTAGATAAGTGCCATCCATCATGCAGGAAACCAGTGGCTGGCGCTGAGGGAAAGTGGAGACAGAGGTGGGGATTTTCCTAGGGACATGAAGCGAATGGGCCACCCCTTAGCTCTGTACAGGAGGCCGGAGAGAGAGGGGCATAATTCTGCCCCAGCAGCCTCTGCCGGTCTGGGGCAGGTGCAAAAAGAGACATTTCTCTTCCCCTAGGCCATGGGGGTGGGCATTAAGCTCTTCCTGGAGGCCAGGAAAGAGGGTGGGGTAGGGCGGGGTGCAGATGGTGGGGTGGGGGAGGGCAGCCTTTATCTAGCACAGGGTTGTGGAGAGGCCCCAGAAAAAACTGCATTGGCCAAGGCTTTCTCCCGGCTCTGGGCTGCCTCAGTTTCCTCCTCTTTAAAAAGAGGAAGTTGGCCAGGGTGATCTCCCTGCTTGCGCTAGGCTTCAGGAGCTAAGCTGAGCTAAGAGAGAGCAGGACCCTGGCTTCTTCTAGAGTCCTCAGCCCCCATCCTCTCCTGGTACAAGGGCAGGGGGATAAGCTGACCTTCCCTGAGTCACATAGGTATCCCCTACAGTCTTCTGGCTTCCTGAGGCACCCCCTCCCCTTCATTTCCCTGAGATCTCAGGTGGGCTGGGAAGACAAAAGGCAGCTCCTCTGCTGAGTCACCTGAGCTGCTGAAAACCCCCTGCTTTGCCGGGCCTGCGGCCTCCCAGTTTCTCCCTGCTGCCAGCCCTGGATGCCTGGGTGCTTTGGAGGGCAGAACAGAGCAGGTTGGGCAGGGCAGAAGAAGAGGCCAAATGGCCAATAACAGAGACTGGAAGGGAGAAGGATCTTTCTAGCTGTCCTCCCTGTCAATGATTACCTGGGCACTTGGAGGACTTGGAAGGCCAGAGGGTGAGACGGGCTCGGGGGCCAGGGCCAAGGCAGGAGACTGTCTGGACTCACTCGCTCCCAACTTCCAGGAGCTAAGGAATATTCTGGAAGAAAGGTCTTGGGACCAAATGGCCGGGCAATAGGGAGCAAACGTGACGGGAGAGGGAGAGCAGTGGAGCTTGTCTGGGGAAGAGGCGACCGCAGAATGTTAGCCACCTGCACACCCCGCCCTTCTGAGGGAGCAGTCCCCCGGGACCCGCCTGGTCCATAAATGCTTGTTGACTGGCTTGCTGGCCCAATGCTCTAGTCAGTACACTGTCCCTGGGACTTCACTCTGGCCTCCCCACCTTTGTTCACAGCTTTCTGCTTGCCCGGAGAGCCCACCCTACTGTTACATCTATCCCATCCCACTTCTCTTTCAAGGCTCCCGCTCGGTCTCCTCCTCAGAGCCCCCTAGCCCAGAGATCCCCTCTACACACATATTTCTGTGGCCCTCTAGAGCTCAGGACAGCCCTGGGAGGCAGGGGCTGAGAGGGTCCTTCTCCCCCATTTACCAGAGGGAGCCAGGCTCAGACAAGCTTAGGACGAGATACTCCCAAGGGTGGTGGTGGAGATGAGATTCAAGTCCAGTGTGCTGACTCACACAGCTCCCTGGTTCACAGAACCACCCAGTCACAAGCTTGGCCCTCTAGGCGCCTGAGAAAGGCTTGTTGATTGACTCACTGATCCCCTCTGGGGAGAGGGTAGAAAGACAGGCAAGATCACCTTTGTAGCTGGAGAGAAGAGATGCCCCCCCCCGCCCCAGGAGAATGGAGAAGACTCTGGGGCAGTGGCCGGAGCAGGGCTGGACTCTCCCCAGGCCAGGCTCAGCCCCACATCCCTCCACCTTCCCAGATACCTGGGTTTCCTCTCCCTCCTGCTGTTGGACTCTTGAGGAAGAGGCGGGGTCCCATAGGAGAGGAAGGCTCCGCTTCCCCGGCCCTGTCTCAATAGTTCATGGGAGGTAGTCATTCCATTTCTCAAGTGCATGTGCTCCCTGCCTTGAATGCCCCCCTCCCCCCACCCCTATCCATCTCCCCTTCCTGGAGAACTTCTGGGGCTTTAGCTAAAATCCCACCTTTTTTTTAATTTTTGGCGAGGCAATTGAGGTTAAGTGACTTGCCCAGAGTCACACAACTAGTGAGTATCAACTGCCTGAGGCCCGATCTCCTTTTTTTTTTTTTGTGCTTAAAATCCCACTTCTTACCAGAAGCCTTCCTGATTTCCCTTCTGGCCAGGGCCTTCCCAGAGAGCCTGTTGGCAGCTTTTTTGGACATGGCTGTTTGTATATTGCCTCCTCTACTGGACTGGAAGCTCTCTGAGGGCAGGGGACTGATCTGACCTTCCTTTGCATCCTCGGCACTTACTTCATGCATAGTAGGCACTTTATAAACACTAGCTGACTGACATCCCCAACACTTCTTGAGACAGTCCTGTG